TTGCTTTGTCCTGAACTGCGTCATCTACGTGTTCACACGTGTGTATGCTTTCATGACTCTGTGACTTCATACCTGTGTATTGCGCACGGTAACTCCTGTCTCTTATACACATCTAGATGTGTATAAGAGACAGGTCTTATTCTGTGTAGCACTCCGAACATGTTCGGAGCTTTTCCAAACATCCGAACATGTTCGGGGGTTCGGCCGAACGCCTCCCGAACGTGTTCGGCAGAACATATTAAAAAAAAAAAAAAAAAAAAAAAAAAAAAAAAGATTTTTAACTCGAGTTTGGTTACACATTTGAGTATACCTCCTCAACGAAAGTTGTTTTTATTATTATTTTACATAACTTATATATTTTTTTAGATTTTTCTTAGATTTGTTTTTTTTTTTTTTTTTTTTTTTTTAATGTTCGCATTCAGAGGGTTTTGACGCTCGTTCCCATTCGGTCGCGAACGTTCGGGTTCAGTCACCAAACCCGAACACAATGTTACACAACCTAATCCTAACTACCAACCGAGCTGACAAGTAAAGAGAAAAAGCATTGCGACAAACATTGGACAAGATTAGCTTAAGATTAGTGTGGGATCGTTTAGATGAGACTGTTATAAAATCGACCTTGTTTTTCCTTGTCATAGAAGAGCAAAGAAAGCGAACTACAGTATTCTTAAAGGGCAAGGAACATGAACAGAAATGTGAGACATTGTGAATTGAAGTAATAAATCCCACTTTGAACCACGATCTACAATCTTTCAAACTTGAGATAGAAAAATGAAGTGCGAAAACAGTGGATGAACAAGAAAGTCGTCGGATTAGTTTTCATTTCTCAAAGAAGGAGTATCATGATGTAACACTCTACGTTGCATACGGTACACGGACGAGGCCTTTTCGTACGAAACGTACAGGTAATATTTGTACGGGATCTGTACGGGAACCTGTACGTCTTATACACTCCTATACGAAAAAGCAAAAAAAAAAAAAAAAAAGGCAAAGTCATCAAAAAAATCCGAAAACAAAATATGTGATGCAACAGCACGAAACAAGCAACATTTGGTTTAGCATCATCTTCAGATTCTTATTAGAATTTGAGGAAAAAAAAAAAAACACTACCGGATTAAAAGGAAAAGAAAAAAAAAACACTTGTACGGGACCCCTGACGTGCCAAATGGAGTCTCGTACCTGTCTCTTATACACATCTAGATGTGTATAAGAAACAAACACAAAAAAAACAACATTTGGCCGAGAATCATCTTTAGATTCTTATTAAAATTTGAGAAAAAAAAAAAAACACTACCGGATTAAAAAAAAAAAAAACAAACTCATACGGCTGTCTCTTATACACATCTAGATGTGTATAAGAGACAGGCGTACGAGTACAAGAGTACGAATCCGTGCTCGTACGAGGGTGCGTACAAGTGGCAACGCAGGTAACGCTAATTAAGAAGGGGGTAGGAATTCTTAATTCAATGGCCTGTTGAAGCAAGGTAGTTAAGCTAGCAGATTTTTGGTCAAAGAACGATGATAACATAAAGGGATTAAACTTGTTGACAGAACAAATTTGAGAAGATAAATGAGAAATTCATCGTTCTTTTACACAATCTTTCACTCTTACCGGGTCGACAAGATCTACATATACGCTTATTCCTGGTAACAGAATTTAACGCCGGACTAAGGAAATTAATAAAGAATTTATCCAATCCAAGGAAGTTTTACTCCGACGATATAAAGATTGGAATAGCAATATAGCAATTAACACCAACCCTACTTAACCATCTATACAATTTCTTATTCTCCTTAAGGCTCCTTATCGGCATACTCGAGGCAGTACGTTCCCTCCGTCTAATCGCAATCGACCTCTTAGTACAACCAATATATACATCATGATGACGATACCATGGGGAAACTAAGCGTAAACCACCGGTCCAGGACAAGAAACGAAATCATAACCCTTATTCAACAGAGCACATAAAAAATCGTAAAACTTACCGCACCAGCCAATATCTCCCCGCAGAATAAGCAACACAACGACTAGGCAATAATTTCAATAAATATACTGAAGTTGATCTATTGGTAGCACATTATAAAAATCACGGTAGAAAAGAGTCATCTCACGAAGATGTCACGCACTTAGGAAGTGTCCTCACTCATCTCCGGCATCTTCGTTGGACGTGGCGTACTGTTGGTCAGCGTTATCCTCATCCTGAGGTTCCTTGTCTTTCTCTTTCAGCCACGCTGCGTAATTACGACTAGCCTTGATCTCGGCCACGTCCGCTTTGGCCTGGTTCAACTTGATATACGTGATACCCTCCTCCATGCAAATCTCCTCCATGTCTTGCTTCTTTGCCCGACGAAGTTCTTTAAGCATGCTTTCACGGAACCCCGCCATCTTCGCCACCTCCAAATCGTGTGTTACATCTACGATACTTCGCAATCTACCGTTGACTGACTCTCTTTGCTTCTCCTTCCCTTCCTCGTCCGCTTCCACTTCCACCGCGTAAAAACTCATTTTTAGATTGCGAGGGGTCGTTTTCTTCATTGCAGTCTTCCGCGTCGATATCCGCACCCTGGATGCATCCATGTTTGCCATGCGTTCCTTGAGTTTTTCAGCCTCCTTGATTGCCATCTCCTTCCCAACCAGCGCCGCCTTATATGCCTTCCGCAAAGCCTCCAAATCCTTCGGCGTATACATTGTCGTGGTTGAAGGATCTGCCCGCTGCTTCCCTGCGGGTGATTCCTCAGGTTGGCTAGTTTCCGTTACAACTGCCGCACCCCGCTTGTTCCGCATACCAAAAAACTCCTCTTTCAGATCCGTGAAGTCCTTTTTGAGATGCTTAGTTTCCGATCAGAGGGCAGAGACCTCCTCACTTTTCTCCTTAAGGGTCGTGCGGATCGTGCCAAGTTCCCTCATCGGCAGCTGCAAAGCCAAAATCTCATCCTGCTTCCCCTCATCCGACTTACTTTGCTCCTTTCTACTTTCTAACCCAACTATCTCCCTTCTCAAGCATTCCTCCTCTCCCTGTTGGTCATTCATCCTCAATAGCGCCTCCTCCTTGTATAATGCATCTAACCGGGATTGACTTGTCTCTCCCGTTGTCCTTTTCTGCAACTCCTCTAATTCTTTCCTCAACTTGGAAACCTCACTCTCATCGTCTTCAGGAATGTAAACCTTCCTTCCACGTGCGGAATCACATACCGCCTTCACACTTCTCCGTACGATTCACTTGTGTCTCCCGCTTTCTCCCTCGCCGTGAAGAACCACCTTCGATCCCCTCCCACCTTTGCCCCCCTCAACCAATGAGTCCTTTAAAGTATCCAATCTACGAGGGGGCGAAACCTGTCTATACACCCTACCCACAGTACCGGCAAAAATCATTTCATAAAGTCCGTTCAAGCCTGGCAGGGATTAGTATGGAATAATGCACAGAAGGCTTCTTTATGCACTCCACCTATAATGTCGGACTTCAACTGATTTCTGAATGGCAAATGACATTTGTGCCCAACATTTTATAAAATGACTAGGTTGTTTTTTCGGGCGCCCGGGTACCCAACTTGTGCCCGGATACACGCCCGGGTGCCTGGCCGGGCATGACCCCCGGACAGGGTTCCGGGCAGCCCCAACGCAAAAAAAAACAAAAAATAAATGGAAGTAAAAAAAATCCAGAAAAATAATATGTTGCGTAGAATTGCAACACAAACAACTTTTGGTTGAGGGTCATGACCCCCCGACAAGGACAGGGTTCGGGCTTGCAAGACCTACCGGTGTCCGGAGACCGGTAGGAGTAGCGGACGGAAGTGGGTTTGAGGTCCGTTTGGTTAGTACGGGAACGCTGGTGGATTCCCCCTGATGAGACGGCGTGCTGCCGTCGAAACGCGTCGTCTGACGGGCTTGCGAGACCTACCGGTGTTTGGAGACCGGTAGGAGTAGCGGACGAAAGTGGGTTTGAGGTCCGTTTGGTTAGTACGGGAACGCTGGTGGATTCCCCCTGATGAGACGGCGTGGGCTGCCGTCGAAACGCGTTGGGGACGCCAATAC